TTTTTTTTTTTTTTTTTTTTTTTTTTTTTTTTTTTTTTTTTTTTTTTTTTTTTTTTTTTTTTGTCATTTCAGCCTCATTTCCTAATCAAATACTTGTAATGAGACGTTAGTAAAGAAGAAAATAAAAGAAAGAAGAAAATAAAAGAAAGAAGAAAATAAAAGAAAGAAAAAAATAAAAGAGAGAAAAGAGAGAAAAGAGAGAAAAGAGAGAAAAGAGAGGAAAAATGAGAGAAGAGAAGGTAATCTTCCGAGAACTCTTGATCTTGCCACCTAGAGTTTTTTTTCTCTCTTATCTCTCTAGAGTTTCTTAGCAAAATCATCCGGCTCTGCGTGGAGAATATAGTATCAAGTTGGGAGGTCCTCGCATCATTTTATCATTCCATTGGAACGAAGTTAATCAGAGAATATAGTATCTGATGACTCAAATTTGACATTTTGTCTTATTCGACTTGGTTTTGATATGCTCGGACCCTTTTCTTTATAATTTCACCTAATCGAAAACATTTAAAATTAATATGACAACCTTTTAGTTGGTTTTAAAAAAAAATTTAGTTAAATTTAAATTATTTAAGCATAGGTTGAGTTAACTTTAATAAAGAGTATATTTAAATTATTTGATGCAAAATTAGGTTTAGCTAGCTTAGACTAATAGAGAAATCTAATTTATGATTGTTGAACTCGTTAGGAAGAATCAAATTTTAGACAGCAACGTTAAGCTAGGATCAAGGAGTCGTAGTAGTTTTGACCTAGGCCAACCAAATAAATTGTCTTACTACCGGCTCGGTCAGACGACTTGCTTTATGTATGATGACACGTGCTTAGTGGCATTTGCATATGTCATTTATATTTTATATTTTATATTTTATGATGACATGACTATGATATATGATGATGCTTTATGATGTTATATGATGTTATACGATGTTGTTATATGATGGTGTTATATAATGATAATATGATGATGACGACGCATGATAACATGACGATGTAAGATGTCGGATGATGATCAGACTACTTAATATGATGTTATTTCATATTATGATGAGGTGCATGTATTAAATGTCATGATGCATTATGATGATGATTTTTCTAAGACACAACCCTAGTTAATTTAAGGATGATAAACATACCGAGACCAATACATGCATGTTAGAGTAATATGGGGACAATATTTAGGGTTGTGTCATTAATATGATGTAAAGATGAAAAACTATAAGACCTCATGCATTTTAAGTGTACATATACATCAGGTTACTTCCTCATTTATGATGATGAGTATGGACGCGTATACTATGATGATAATGATGATCATACCTCGCATGACACTCACGGGTCTGCTGACCTCCGAATGTTGCTATGGACACCTAGCTCGACTATGATGGGTCCAAAGGGTGCGAATGTTGGCTTTTTTACCCTTAATCTCACCTTAATTAATTTCAATTAATTAATTGATTGATGTTTTGATGATAACCAACATACTTTTAATTATTAACTATTTCGGTATTTTAAACTATCCACAGTATAAGATCGGGAATAACGATTTCAACGACTTTTCAATTACTCAAATCAGAGCTAAAACGAAGAAATTACTATTGAGACAACATACCCGACGTGATGATGTGGCAACAAAATCAAAATATATCGAGATATGACATTTATAATTTTAGAAGAGTAACAAATGGTGGAGTTTTTCTTATTATTTTATTTTTAAATACAATTATTTTTACAAAATATAAATTTGAATCTAATCGTTACTCACATCGATTTTTATTATTACTATATTATTATATTTTAAAATTTTGGTAGTTACTTACATTGTTTTTATTATTATTATATCATTATATTTATAATAAATTTTGAATTTTTCATTTGACCGTTACTCACCTAACTTTTTATTATTATTATATTATATTATATTAAAAAATTTAAATAAATGAATTTGGAAAATTTTCTTATTTATTTACTTTTAATCTTCCCCTTCCATTATTCCTAACACAATCGAATAATCAATATTAATTCCTACATCTGGCCACTTTTCTTCTCTGTATAAACTCATCTCCCCACATTTTAAAATACACAACTTCCATACATTCTCCAATCCTCATTTGTTCAAAGTCTCCATCGTTTGTTGCTCTCTCCAAGCTTCCAATTTTATTTTTATTCATCTTATTCTTGAGAGACATTTTTTTTATTGTATGGTGAGAAAAGAGTTGTGAATGCTTCAAATTGTAAATCTACTCTTTGAGAGAGTTGTGGTGTGTTACTATCAAATTCAAATACTTGTACCGGTTTGATCCTGCGCCGTGGAAAGAATTGAGTTTGCTCTTGAACTCGTAAAAAGAGCGGTGTAGCGGTTTGGCTCTGATCCATGGAAAGAGTCGAGAAAGTTCTTTATTCAGGCGCTTGGGGAGTGGAGTAGGTCGAGTTTGACCGAACCACTATAAAACTACAGTGTTATTTTCTCTAACTCCTTCCTATTTAATTTCAAAATTATTATTGTGATTTATTATATGTTCTACTTAATTGTTGTTTTGACTTGAATTATTTTGTTATAGTAATTATCATTTTCTACTTATTTGTAAAAAGTTTCATCATTAGAAAAATTAATCACGTTTAAACACTTTTATCGTTAAAACCCTATTCACCCCCC